AAAACAACAAAACCCTAAGAATATGGAAATGAAATTGTAACCAACTCCCAGTTATTACGCAGACAGGCACTCAACTTCTGGAAAATAATACTAATAAAACCACCAATACAGCTTTCTGTGATTATAATATTAAAGAAGTGAGCACAAAGCTAATGTTATTGAGTAGTAAGAAAATGCTATGTTATGAATAAAAGCTTAATGATAGCAGCTGGTGTAGTGTACAGAGCTATGGAGCCCACACTGGCTCCTGCTCTAATGAGAGAACAGAGTTGGCGCACAGCATGAAAACAGATCAAATATTTATGGATGGGTGCCGTAAAAGTCCTCTCTGTTGGTATGTTGCTACAGGTCCCGCCTTTCATGGTTTGCTAATGAAACGTTTTTACTTCCTCAGCCCATTTTTCGTCTACGCGCCAGGTCACAGTTAGCACGAACTACTATCCCTTCTGATTTGCAGTTATGTTTCCTAACAAATACGTAGGCTCAGCAGGATTGGTCGACTCTTGACACCTGGATTCAACTGAAATTCACAGGGTGTATTTTTCCCCCATCCAAACCCAGTACAGGTGAAGTGCTCATTACTACGATGGCGCCTTTTTCAATCTACAAATGTGCAAAGTATACAGGATATCAATCTTGAGTGAGTAGCAGAGTATTCATTTTGTTGGGTCAATATATTTACCTCAAACAGCCCACAAGATTGATCAGAAATGCGGCTGACAAATCTTTTAATTTGAAAACTCAAGGATTCTGCTGCTGGTGTAAAAATACATTACTGAGAAATCAGGTATAGTTAAAATAAGTAAAATCCATGTCTTCACTTAAAACACTTTCTCAGATCTTGTCAAATCTAAGGAAATATTACTCTGCCTCCCAGTAAACAACTGTGTGCGGTTCTTTAGGCTATTGGATAAACATATGCCTCAGATAGGGATTGTTATATAATTCACCACGGCATCTTATCCTAAAATGAAAAAAACAAAACAAAAGGTAGACAAGCAATCAAAGCTGCATTCGAGCTGTTAAATTTTAGTTTTGTACAGATGAAATCAAGTAAAAGTATATTTTTAGCTATGAAGTTGCTAAACTGTACTGTGCTACAGAACAAGAAATATTCTGTCGAAATAAAGTTACCAAAACTTTTGCAATGAAGTGAATATTGTAAAAATCACAGTTAATCAAAAATGACTCAGGTTTCACTTTTGAATTAAAGGGATGAATTATAAATACTTACTAAGCATGAATCATTTGTTCATTGTACATTTGTCATCATTTACTTACTTTTTGTCAAATTTCTATTTAAATAAATAGAAATATGGACAGTTTTTCACTTTTGGGAATGCCAGGGAATACCTTTCACAACAGAGTAAATACCTGCCACTGAACTGTCATTATTACAGCATCAATAGACCTTGAGTGCCAAAAAAGAGAAACCCTTTGCTTATGCCACTTTGGTTCTTTTGAGCCTGTCTCCCTCTAAACTGCCTCTTGCTCAGCCTCTTTTACCTGGCCCTCCGCACAGTCCTGGAGCTCCCATTTGACAGGCCAGGTGCTGGGGAAGTGTGCGTGCGTCTAGTACTCCTCTGTAGTGGTGTCAACCTGAAGTGATTGAGTGGAGCGTTTTCATTGAGCACGGTTCTTGACACCTTATACATGGATGAGTGCGGCTGTGACTGCTGTCTCCCCACATGCCCCTTTAAAGGAGGCGGAAGTTAACTTGTGATGTGTGCTTTAATAACAGATTTCACTTCCATCCTGGAGCTGCTAATTAACTGTCATTTCTGATTTGATAATAACAAATCCAATCCGTTATCTTTCTACTAAAAAAAGAATGGCATTACGTAATTGCACAATACACTTGAAACTTTCCTGGTCAATATAAGGTTTTGTATCCAAATCTTTAGTTCATGAGTATTCATGGTTATGGAATTGTGAATTGCTATGGCAACTGTCCCACTTTTTCATTGCTCTTAAACCCACGGATACCATAATTAGCATAATTAGAGAGAGCTCTACTGGATGCCCTCAATATTTCATATAGTAGACTACGACATAAAAAAAAAAAAAAAAAAAAACACTATTAATACTAATAACCCACTGGATAAGTTACATTCTCAGTTCTCTTTGACACAGACACTGTGTTGTTTAAGACCAGCCTAGACTTGACCAGGATTAAACCTAAAATAAACCAGGACTAGACCTGGTCTACAGAAGACATAAACTAGCTCAAAACTAACACCAATGTAAATAAACAAAACTGTAAAACATTTTGCACAACATTGAGGCACAACAGCAGACAGATAAATGTATGGAAATATATGCATGTATCATAAATGTATCCTCTAATTCTCCCCTATTTGTTGCTTTGTTATCCACTAAGAAGTCCATATCAGGACAACTTCTTCCAGTCCTTAGGGAACCTCTTCACTCTCCAATCACCCTTGTTGGCTTATATAATTATTTGCACGAGCACTTACCATAGCAAATATCATTCTTCATTTGTGACACCTGAAAGCTTTTCATACTTAGTATTAAATTGCCAACTTGCAACCAAGCAATAAGGATCCTGCTGTTCACTGGAGTGTCTTGATCTACTTTTAGAAGTACCTGAAGAGCCCTGCCAACCTCATTGTCTGATTGCACTCCTCTGAGGTGACAGACACAGGAGAATAAAAACAGAAAGAAAAGTTCAAAAGTGGAGTGAAGGCTTCAGGGCACGTGTGACTGGAAACTATTAATTGTGACTAAAATGCATCCTTGGCCATGTTGCCTCAGTAAAAGTTACAGATTGCTCAAAGGCATGGGAATTTTACGTGTCTGACAGTAAAGATAATTAAAAGCACTCTTATCTCTTGGCTACATGCAGAACAGCTTTCATTTGAGAAATTAATTATAATTGCACCATAATGTACGTTTACATGGTCATTACCATAACCCAATTAGCGATTTAAATCCAATACAGTAACATCAGTATATTTGCACAAGTCAATTAAATTCTCAGAAACATTGTTTTGATTGCAACGCAATTTTTTTGGAACAACTTTTTGGTGAGTAATAATAGTATAGTAGTAGTAACAAAATATGAACAGAATCAACTTGATCATACCAAAAATGCTTAAAAAGGGGATATTTTACTTCTATGGGGTAACGGCTAACACATAGCATATTTAGATTACCATTTAATCTTTTATTGATTTGAAAATGTTATGCTGTTATATCCACATCAAAGCAAGTTACAAATCAAATGTAATTCACACTAAGATTGCATGTTTTTCAGGATGTTTTTGACAAACAAATCATTTAATACACACTAGAGATATGTTTAATGCGACTGTGGAACATTCCAGCCAAACACTCCATACAGACAAATGACTGACCCACTCGAAAAAGCTGTGCACCTTCAACTGCAGAAAAAAGATCTCACTTAGAGCAGTTACACGACAAAGGCTCATCTCCTGGACGCATCGTGTGGACGAAACTACAAGCACTCAAGCATGATGAGAGCCAAGCTACAATGACCATGAAGTACACATTATGAGCTGCTGTCATTCACCACTGCCAGTCCACTCACTCACCACAGGAGTGCATCCCTGTTGTGTGGATGAATGACATCAGAGAGTAATGTATGCAAACATGGTATGGCTGTAGATAATATGGCCTAAACATTTTAAATATCACTATTACAAGACAAAGTAAAGAAGGCTAAAATTCTATTTAAGGGCACAATAATACAATTATTAGTTTGAAAAATATAATCCTAACCAATATGTACAACCAGTGTTGGGAACAACGCTGTTTAAGTATAATGATTAGGTATTACTGTCAATGTAAAGGGGCTCGTTATTGTACTATGTCTACAGTTGCAATCGATCAGACACCACTTTCTTCTAACATCAGAGGGACTGTAAATTTTCTTTCCCTTTATTTTTTAAACTTAACAAAACAGTGGCATTTAATTAAAGACCGTGATTGTAAAGATGACCAAACAGATGCATTGTTAGGATATGGTTTAGAGCGGCAGCAGTTTTGAACATTCATTACAAAACACGTGTGGAAATATGACACATACAAGTCTATTTTAAAGATATATAAAGTCAGTTAAATAAAGCGTGAATAAGGTTTATGCTCGCTAAAAAACGTGAGCCAATGTGTGGATACAACATTCAGCTTCCTCATCATACGTGCAGTGACTTTAATATCTTTTTGCCAAAGTACGGGCAGTGACATGTAGCGTGCAGATATTAGTTATGTTCTGATATGTGGGTGCATTTGGTCAACACGTGGTTTGGCCAATGTTGCTGCTTAAAGGTGATAGTTGTTTTCCCTGCATTGTTGAAATGCCGTCAGTGGTTTTGACTGTACAATTGTCCATTACGGCGCCTTTGAGCTTTATAGAGGAGAATAGCTGATAACTAATGCTGGTTCTGGGTGCTTGTGGTGATTTGCCAAATAAAGATGACTATTGCTAATTGTGTATGTATTTTTGAAGATTTTCTTTTGTAATTTAAGTAATAGTTAATTAATCGGGTAATTACTTTTGGAGAGAAGTAAAGAGAAACTATAATGACTTGCTAATGAATGCCAATGTTCATCATAAAAATGTATTCCTAATTTGTGATAATTTATGTTCCTAATCTATTTTAATAGATTATTTTTTCAGACCAAGGTTTAGTTTGCTTCCATACTTGACCGTTTCAACCTGACCAGACATGTCACAGTAATATTACGTGACCACTCTGAGGAAGACTGCTAGTTAGGAGTCAAAACTGTCAGGTATGAAAACAAACTAAACATTGGTCTGATAAAAAAGAATATATTCAAATAAATGATGTGAAGACCAACTGAACCTCACTGGATTATGTTGATAATCATTGTCCGTTTTTAATTTTGCAATACAAGTAAATAAGTATTACATTTTTGCTGATTTAATTTAACTGTCAAAACGGCAAATTGAAATATCAGAAACAATAACATTTTGCCAAACTGAAGATGACTCTTACCATGGCGAGGGGCACGATCCCGCCCAGGTCCTGTGGTGCGATGCGGATGAGGGTGAGTACCTCGTTGGTGAGGCTGCGTGTGAGTGGGTACTCCACCTGCCAGCTCACCTCCCTGGCCCCCTCCACCGCCATCTGCCCGTTCACCTCCAGATCCACCTGAAGCACTCTCTGGTACCCCGCTGCCTCCACCCTGCACACACACAGATGCACAACAGGATTTAGATAACCCACAGCGCAGCACAGAAAGATACAGAAGAAATAGAACGATACTGGGGAAGGTATAAGGAGGCAGAAATAAAATGGTGCTCAAATTGGAAAAGTGGGAATAGTAGAGATAAAGGCATGAGTGAAAAGTGTATGGGAGAAATGAAAAGGACAAGGGACAATGAAAAAACTACTGTAAGAAATGGGAAAAGGGATTAGACTGCACATATAGGGAGGATGTTGAGATCAGAGGTGGAAGAAATGTTCTAAATCTACACAAAAGAAGAATACAGTGGTTTCATTATTTTAGCTTTAAACTGGATGCCTATCCTGGATGAACAGTACCTGAATGGCTAGCACTTTTTCAGGTTTCAGGTTTGCTTCCTGGGCTGGCCTGGAACCTACTGTGTGAAATTTGAAAGTTCTCCCAATGTCTGTGTGGGTTTCTTTGGGGCACTCTGGTTCAACCCAATATGCACAATGGGCACTCCTCCAGCTAGGTAGTCCTGACCAAGAACTAAAGATGAGTCCTTGAGCACTGTACTGCAGCAGCTCACTGCTTCTGACAGGCTGCCTCAGTGGCACTGGTTGAAGGATGGGTCAAAAGCAGAGAATGAATTTCCTTGACAAGGGATTAATAAGGTATACATAACTGTACACAAGCTGACAGACTGTGTAGGCACTGTGGCTAGTCTCTTCAAGGACATAATGGCAATATGTTTAAAAACAGAGTGTGAAACAATTAACCAACTTCTAGATTACAACTTTATGTGATTGAGAGCTTTTTTCATATTCTATCACGGGTTGAAGAATATCTGCAGTATTTATGTAGAAGACTGTAAAAATAAGTTGATGCTTCTACCAATAGTTTAATAGAACTACAGAATCTACTAAAGGCCGACAAACAATACAGGATTTTTCTATCGTAATTTTTAAATGTGAAGCAAAAAGCACACATCACAGACATGAGGCAAATCTTATGAGATTTAAAATCTCTGATCGCAAAGACTGCAGTGGGATATGTCTGCACACCACAGGCTATAAAGTTGTCTACAGTAAAACCATTCGCTTTGAGACTTGTAAGTGTTCAAAGGATCAGAGCACTGCACTTCTAGTTTAGATACATGACAGAATGGTGTTATTATTATTTGTGAACTGTGGTACAATATTTCAGATACATGATTTTTTATGCACAGAAGGCTGGAGATACAGTACACAGGAATTAGAGTCTCAAGCACTAATCTACAGCTTCAAACCGATTCGTGCGCTGTGGATGTAAAAAGACACACGTGAGGAACTACTATCACCTTTTTACTTTTAAAGAACGCTTCAAACTGGATCAATAACGCTGTTTTGTGGATTGGGTGTCATTATTTGCGGAGGTCAAATTCTAAGGATAATGTGGATGACATGCTGCAGTTTAAAATTTACAACTTTACAAGAGGTGAGTAATAAAGTCTTCTAATTATTTTCACTATTTCCTGAGTTTGTATCTTGCGTCTTTGTGACCGTTACTCTGTCTGCCCCTGACGCTCTGTTTTATTGGCCATTACCGTAGTGTTGCTGATGTTTGGTGGCTATGATCTGAAAGAGCAGCTCAAAGTCACACTGACACCACATACATGAGGACCGCAGCGGCTTTAAAATCGCACACAAAGATACAAAGTCGGGGACAAGCAAATTGCAGCGAATAATCCGTCAAATTCTCCTGTAGTATGTAGCGACCTTAAGACTACATTAACCAGTATTACAACAGGTGTGTACTGCTTTATCAACAATATTGTTAATATTATAACCTGCAATTGTACAATCTCTTTCCTAGACACTGACAAAAAATATACAATTATTATTAAATACATGTATTTTAAAGTACATTAGCTTATGAATACAAAAATCTAATTCCACCTTTGACTGGAAATACAGCAGTTGAGATGTGCAGATTCAAACACAGCAAAACAAAAGACAACCAATACCGCCTTGGTCACAATATTCAAAACCATTTCAAAAAGCATTCATTCCAAAACATTACGAGTCCCGCAGCGACTGATGTAAGCAGATGTTTCTGAGTTTGAGCAACCAATTCCTCATCAGAGCCAGATATGAAACTAATGGCGTTGCTATTGGAATCCATTCTCACATCCACGCAGAACCATGATCTTGGCAAAAAAGCAATTTATTTTTCCTCGCGCAATATGGAGCTTCTGTTGCAGAGATTGTCAGGGCCAGGCAAATCATTCTCCCTCGGCTGATAGAGATGCAAACAAAGCAGAAAAAACAATGAATGCAAAACCCCCTGAACTCATTGGATTTGCCCTGTGCTTGGTCTGCGTACATATTTCTTATAACGCAGACAAAACATGATATAATACCTCTGTCGGTAACCAGGATTATGCATAACAACTTAGGGATACAATTTGCACTTCAGATTCAAGGGGCGGGGACCATAGTGTAAGAATTGAATGAAAACTGACTGCAATAGGTTGTGATCATCTTGCAGAATTGAATGCCATTATTTTAGATGGAGGGCAGGGGCTTATATATAACTGTGTGGGAGATTCACTGTTTTTACAAGAAAAATCAAAATTTATGATCCGTAAATGTTAAACCTGATCATTATTTGGACATTTTAATGCTACTATTTGTAATTAGACCTGATCCTGTTGTATTCTCACATATCACCACTAAATGCTGTCTAGGTTACTGCTGTCTAATAGTGTACCATCTTTGGTCTGCAATAATGATCTTAAAGAATATACTGTAATAAAAAAACATACAATGCTGGTTGAAAGGTTGTGCTGCCAATTTCCACCTGCCCCTTTACAGTCATCGCAACAAAAGGCAGAACAGCTGGACATAACCTAATCACAGAAATCCTGACCTGTTCATCAGTCCCGAGTCATTTCTGCTCATTTAAATAATAACACAGTATTTGTTGGTTTATGCCATGTATAGTTTCTTAGGTTTTAGTAAGAAGATAAATAAATCATAACAAAGAACAGACTAACAAACAATACTGTATTTATCACAGTCAAAGTGACAAATCATGAGTCTGGGGTTCTGTGTTTTAGATCTTTTATTAGTCTTAGTTAAAACCTAAAAATAGCACTACACTAGACAGTGCTCGATTGTGTGGTTGTGGCACAATTAAAACGTGTCTGGAGCAGGTCCAAGCCGAGCATACGGAGGAAATGAGTGGGAGTAAGAGGGAGATCCAAGCTTTTGCCTGAAAATATTCTGGCCAGACTGGCTCCACTCTCCTTATGAGTGCACACATCACACACCAGCCCACTTCAAAGTGCAGATTTAAGGATCCTCTCAAAAAGTGAGCTTAAAGATAAGTGCAAATATAAAAGCGGGTTCAAGACCAATCCCAGATCATGTGGAAAAGAGACCATTTTGTTCTAAATAACACAGTGGATTTTCTAATAAAGCACAGAAACTTTAGTGTGTGTTGTGGAGGTGAAAGCAAGCTGGTATTTTTGTAAAAAGCTTGTTTGTGCAAGACAAAACAGAGACAAACTATACTGAACTTTGTGCAAAACTATTTTAATGATGAGAGATTTAAAAAGAAAAAGTAGCCACAGGGCTCAGGAAGTAGGTTGAGTATGAGCCAGACTAGGGGAATACTAAAAGGCAAAGGCGTAACAAACACACAATAACAAGTTATTTAACACCCAAATTTCAACTTGGAAACCTGACTCATAGTGAGCTGGGACTAAAATTTAGCAACTAAAAACTTGAATATTTTGTTAATAGGAAACCAAAAACACTGATGTATGTTCTAACAACATTCACAAACCTTGAAAAAAAGAACTAAAACTTAAAAAAAAAAAAAAAAATGCAGATGCCCACTTCTTAAATCTTCTATCAGCAATCTGTCTTACTCTATACTTCAGGGACAGTTTTGTGCTAATATCAAAAAGGGGATTTTGTCAAAGCCTGTAAAAGCCCTCTTAATTGGAAGGTATTTTCTGCCACTAACAGCATATTAGCAAGTATTCATTGGGGAGAACATGCATCCATACATTGTCCTGAAAAATGCAAACTGGTTTCATGAGGTGTTTAAAACAATGATAATGGAATATTCAATATGCATTGAAGCATTTATACTGACCCAGACACAGAAGTAACTATGCTTTGCTCCTTACAAGTTGTAAAAGGTTCTAATGATGATAAACCATGAACAGAGAGTCACAATATTTTTCATGTAAGTGAAATTTGTGTTTTGTCCATATGTAATCTTCCAGGTATTTTTGGATGAACTCTTTTAAAAATGACACAAGAATGTATTGCGTAAAGATTTTTAAGCAATAAAAACATAATTTATTAAACACATAGGTAAGTGTAATCCTATCCTGTGAAACATTTCAGGTAAATAAATAACCACTCCACTGGAAAAGTTAATTAAAACATAGTGCATCTTTAATAAATGCATGGTAAAATGGTTTGGGACTTAAAATGCAAAACCATGTATGCTTATGGACATGTCATCAGGCAAACATTAAAGAAAACCAAAACCCATCTTACAAAGGCTATAGTTGTTGATTTATGCATTCGTGTGGTGCACTGCAGAAAATGGAAGCCTTGGCTCTGCTCTTTGATATAGATTTTTATTTTAATCACAGATAAACATCAAAAGAGAGCAGGGAAGTAAACCGCTGAGAGCAAACATCCCACACAGCCATGGGATACACTTTGGGTTTGGACACCAGCTAAAAGGGATGTTACAATTTCATTCTTTTGCTCCACAACACCCATAATGTTTATTGTTTTCAAAATTAATTCCAGAGGTGTGTAGAACTCATTTAAATTTACTCAGTTACATTCATTTGAGTAACTTTTGGAAGAAATTATACCTATATGAGTAAACAATTTGGTGACTCTTCCCACTGTGAGCAAGTCAAAAAAGTGACAAAAGCTTTATGTTGACTGACTGAAATTATTTCAGCATTTACTCAACCGCTTCTCCAGCTGTAATGTAGTTTT